CCCCAAAAACACAAAACCCCCTCCCCAAAACCACGCCTGTCTTAACCCAATTAATTAATTTTTTTTTTTTTTATCTATAACAAAACACACCTCCACTCGTTCCCCCCCCCCCCCCCCCCCCCCATTACGTTAGGTACCTAACCTAGATACTCATCGCATCGTGTTTCCACGAGATAAATATCATATCAGTAGGCTCGTCCACATCTTGCCCTCTCTATGCATCCACGCGTGATACGAATCTCCTTTTTTCGCTCTTGCCTCTACCCCAGTGCTTCGTTACGCTCGCTGCTTCTGCTGTTGCTGCTGCTGATTAGCTTGTAAAAGCCAACCTATTCTTAAACTCTTCGAATCTATCGTCGACGCGGACTCCGTTCCACGTCTCCCCGCCTCCTCCTTCTTCGCCGCTGTCTTTGGCTTTTCCCAACGTCGGCGTGCCGACTTGTTCGATGGCGAAGCTAGCCGCGACGCTGCCCCACGCGGCCGCCTCCTCGAGGCTCTTCCCCCTCGCGAGGGCGACGGCCAGGGCGCCTAGGAAGGTGTTGCCGCCGCCGGTGGGGTCGACAACGCGCTCGGGCGAGCCGGCGTGATACGCGGGGAGCCAGCGCTCGACGCCCGGGTCGACTTCGATTTCCTCGCGGGCGACCATGCCCTCGGAGTCCTGCAGGAGCCCCGCGAATAGCGCCTCCATGTCCGTGTCCGGCTGCAGGCCGCCGTGCAACAGAGCCGAGGGCTTCTTGCGTTTCGGTTGCTTGCCGGGTACTTTACGCTTCCGCCCGCCGTTCCGCGCTAGATAGCATCCCTTCTCGCCGGCGCGGACCACGATGGCGAAAGATTGTAGCGGCATAGAGCCCAGAAGCTGCTCGCAGGCTCGCTCGATGGCTTTTGTACTGATCTCGCCAGTTTCCGGATCTAGCCCAGAGTCGCCCATGAAGCCAGCCAGCTCAGAGTGGTTTGGGCTAATTATATCAATCAGGGGGAGAGTGTTTGTACAGTTTAGTAGCTCATCTGGCGTGCAGAGATCCGGTACGGGTTCCCAGATGAAGACAGGCTTGGGTAAGGGGCTGCCGTCTATACCCGTTAGACCGCTCCGCCTAGCACGGATCTCTGTAACGAGTTCGCGACACCGTGTAGGTGAGCAGATGAGGTGGAAGGAGCGGGAGGCGAGTAGGGTTGGGGTGAGGTCCTCAGCGGTCAGACGCTTTTTGGGGGTCATGTAGCGGAAAGCACGGTTCTGATGCTCGTCATAGCCGTTCCACCCGCGCGTGGTAAGACGTTCCGGCTTGGGCCGGATCAGCACGGAGGTTTCCCAGGTGGAGATAAGTTCTTCTAGAGCTTCCGGGAAATCCGAACCTTTATCAACGATCCAGCCCACGGAGTTTGAGAGTGGTGGTGGTGAGAATAACCGCGCCCCAAGGGCGGAGTAGGTGCCAGCGCCACCGAGGATGTCCCTCACCGGGGGTTGTGGCGGCTGGTATTCAATCTCATCTTGACATTTGATTATGTTAGTTATCTGTTATATTCGTATCGGAGCTTTGTCCTTATGAGCTTTACAGTAAATTATTTGGAGGTAGTGTAGCCATGTTCCTTTTTCTTTTCTTTTCGTTTCTTTTAGATATGTCTTATGCTTGTAAACTCAAATAAGGAACATGCCCCTAAAGTAAGGTTCAGTAGCAGTGGTATAGCTCTCTGCTCGTTGATCCTACTTGGACCAAATGCAGTCAACCGATCCGACCCTCGGGTGTCACTAAAGCTTTGGGGTTCACGATCACGCGGGTTGCTGGATGCTGGTGGACCCAATGAGAGCCCTGATAGGTACCTGATGTTCGAGAATGAGCTAAGAAAAAGGGAATGTACTGTACCTATAATGAACATCCCTAAGGTGACAAAGTCTATCTCCTGAGATGTTGTCTCGCCATTGTCAGGTTTGGGTACTTTCTTGTTATCCATAGTTTACTTTTGTGTCTCTTTCTCTCGAGTCTCAACTTATTATTCCAATAATTCTTGGATGACTGCTAGGTGTCATGTCATGCCATGTACGATATCATACGGTCGGTGTAGATTTTGGAGGTGCATGAACTTCAATCCTAGACCGCCCTCTTTAAGTGTGGCAGTTGAGTAAGAGGCTTACACCTCAAAACCTCAAGATAGGCCCAGAAAAAAAAGAATATCGATCAGGCTGAGCTAACTGCAATGCAGCCTCACTTTTTTTGATGGTTGCTTTATATTTTTTCCCCCATCGACATGGAATTGGGTTTTGGGGAGGGAGAGATGTAAGTTACAATATTCAAAGTAGCATTTGAATTTCAATGTAAGGTAGCAAGTATGTAAGGTAGCAGGTAACTACCTAAGGTTAATACATGTGTCTGTAGATTATGAGGTAGCTACACCTACGCTACTGCATAATCTGCCTCAGGTATTAATTAATTAATTAAGGTCTACTACAACTTCGTTTAGGGCGTTTGAACTTTTAGAAAGACTGTAGGTAAAATGCATTCGTAACCAATCAAGGCCGCGGTAGTACTGACCCACCTGTTCACCAGGGGAAGTAGAACAAAGGTACGTACTCTACCTAACTGTATTCAACTTTCTTGGCAGCTGTCTGAATTTCGAACTTGTTACTCTGTTGTTGGCCTCGTCGTCATCTCCATCATTTCTCCTGCCTTTCATACTTACCTCCAGGCATCAGCATTTTACTAGCACATAAGTCACCCCTCATAGTCGCCAGTTCTACTTGAGTGTTGTCTGTCCCTTTTTTTGTATCGAATTATAGCGTCACTTTGCGTTGGGAGTTTAAACATCATCTTTCCCCCTGATCTTAAGCTTCAAACGCCGTAACATCGTTAAATATACTACCCAACTTCCCTCTATCGGTCAGGCGCAACCGCCAACATGGCGCAGAACCATATACATAATTTAGTTACTCTAATCAAGAGGTAGGCTGATCCCAACTATCTCCCCATTACCCTTTTCGATGTTATAACCCCTTCTGCGGCAATGCCTACATAACTCTCGGCATCTTGGCTCTCTCACACACATACTCCCTCTGTAGATCTGAATAAAGAGTATTCTAACCTCTCAATGTAGACTAGAGGCTGCTACTACTCGCCTAGAGGACATTGCTGAGTCGACGATAGAGCTACCTCAAGTTGTCCCTGCCCTCACGGCTACCGGCGCAACCCCCAGCCCCTCTAGCACATCGAGCCCTACCGTGCAGCAAGCCGTCCCTACGCCCACCCATCTTGCATCGGTGCAAAGCCCCCAAGAACCTTTACCCGAGTCTATCGAAGAGTTCGACGCTTTCATCGATCAGTCGGTTGGTAAATATGTCAAGGCGAGCAACAAGCTAGGCGGCTTGATTGCCGAGCAGGCTTCCAAGGTGTTGGGGGGGTTTCAGCAGCAGCGCCGGTTCCTGCTGATATCCACCAAGGCTAAGAAGCCCGACATAACCGGATCGGAGATGGTCGTCTACCAAGAACTTTTGAAGCCAATCAACGAGGCCCTCATGGCCGTTGGCAGCATTAAAGAATCCAACCGCGGCTCCGATGTTTTCTCCCAGCTCAGTACCGTCTCTGAGGGTATCATGGTACTAGCTTGGGTCACAGTAGATAACAGGCCGTACAAACACGTCGAGGAGTCCTTAGTATCCGCGCAATTTTTTGGAAACCGAGTTCTGAAGGAGTATAAGGATAAGTATGAGACAGACTACACTTCAACACAATGCCGATGCTAACCCAAAGCGTTAGGGATGCCGACCAGGTTGAATGGGTTCAATCCTTCTATCAGGTATTCCGCGACCTTGTTGACTACGTCAAACAATACTTCCCTAACGGCATTTCCTGGAACCCCTCCGGGTTGCTCGCAGCCGAGGTCGCGAAGGCAATAGACTCCGCTCCCACCGCCAATGTTGCCGCTCTGCCGCCCCCTCCTCCCCCGGCCGCGGGTGGTGCCCCTCCGCCGCCACCCCCGGGTCCCCCGCCTGTTCTTCAGATCAAGGAGCAATCCTCCAAGCCAGACGGCATGAACGCAGTGTTTAGCGAGTTAAATAAGGGTGAGAGTGTAACCAAGGGCCTACGGAAGGTAGACAAGTCGGAGATGACACACAAGAACCCGTCGCTAAGGGCTGGCTCGACCGTCTCGGATTCTTCTGCCAGTGCCAAGAGTCCCGCGCCTGGGAAGAAACCGAAGCCCGAGAGTATGCGCCTCAAGAAGCCCCCTAAGAAGGAGCTCGATGGCAATAAGTGGATCATCGTAAGCATATATTTCTATTTTTCTTGCTGTATTTGTATTATCGGCATGCTACGGGCACTAACAAAAACCAGGAAAACTTCGATAAGCATCCCGAGCCGATCGAGATCGAGGCCGAAATGTCGCACTCGATCCTGATCAGCCGATGCAACCAGACGACCATCATCGTGAAGGGCAAGGCGAACGCGGTCACGATCGAGAACACGCAGCGGCTGAGCATCGTGGTGGACTCGCTCGTGTCGACCGTGGACGTGGTCAAGTCGTCCAACTTCGCGCTGCAGGTGATGGGCAGCCTGCCCACCATCCTCCTCGACCAGCTCGACGGCGCCCAGGTCTACCTCAGCAAGGAGAGCTCCTCCACCCGCATCTTCTCCTCCAAGTCCTCCGGCATCAACATCAACGTCGTCGCCGGCCCCGACGACGACTACAAGGAGATCCCCCTCCCCGGCCAGATCTGCTCCTACTACGACGAGGAGAAGGGCGATATGGTCAACGAGATCGTCGATCATGCGGGTTAACGAGCTGCGAAGGGGGCTGTACAACGCGTGCGGTATTACACACCTACTAGGTACCTGGGTCAACGAGCGACTGCGGAATTTGGATTGGATTGCGCGTCTCATTTAGATAGATACCAGACGAGATGAGAGGAGAGGTGAGATGTATATGGGGAGCTCGTATGGCCTAGGGGTTAATGGGGGCAGTCGAGGGAAACTGGAGTAGTGTAAAAAGCCAGGATATACCCGGGCGTACTCTGCGACCTCTGGGGCTCCTACCGTGTTGTCTGTTGTATTTGCCTAGATAGCATGCCATATGCAAAGCATTCACAATTAAAAGGAACATTGTTATCAGGTACTTTCAACAAAGAGAATTGCAATAGGATCAGAGGTACCCAAGCTACCTAGGTACCTAATCACTTGTATGCGCATTTGTGTACCCCTGTTCTTGAATTATTTTTATTCGGACGAAGATATATAGATATAGCTAGCTAGCTAGGCAGTGACCTCTAGGTACCTAGCTATAGAATATCCACCAACACCGGCCTTGATGCTCTAGTAAACCAACAAACCCCCCCCCCCCCCCCAAAAACTGTCGGTACCTAGGTAAGAAGCGTTGAGGCTCACGCGCTAGCAAAGCGAACCGCGCGAACTGCGACGACGCGTATATACGAGATGCCTAGCTGTCTTCCTTCTCGCGCTAACAACATACATTAGGTACATACATACATACAAGGTACATAAAAGCACATGAACACTGGTTAGGTAGTGGCGGCGATAGCAGCGAAGCGCGTGTTAAGAAAATCCTCCCCCCCCCTGCCGTTCCTTTACAGCTTCGCCTTGGGCGGTTCGATGGTGGGGAGAAGTATGTCGCGGATGTCGTTGGCAGCTTCGTTGATGAAGAAGCTCATCTTGTCGCTGCCGAGGCCCTTGGACACGATGTTGAAGTGGAGACTGTGTGGTTGAATTAGCTATTTTGCCTTACCAAAAAAAAAAAAAAAAAAAAAGGGGGGGGGGGATTAAATAAGACTTACCTGTTCTCATTAATCATGTATGCGATTCCGAACCCCTCATCGATGACCTGGCTCCAGCCGTACCCGTTGAAGTACTCGGAGCTCAGCTGGCTGGTGGACAGGAACCAGGAGGAGCTGTAGGTGTAAGCGGGGTCCTTGTAGATGGAGGGGAGGTCGTCCTTGGGGCCGAGGAGCTTTTTGAGGCCGAAGAGGTGGCGGTCGACGCCCTTGCCGTCGGACGCGGCGGTGATGTACTCGATGTGGGCGGCGATGGCCTTTCGGAACAGGGCGACCTGTTCCTCGTCGGGGATGGTCGGGTCGGCCATGGCATTGCAGAAGGCGACGCTCTCGTCCGACACCGACCGGCACGTCTCCGTGCGCCCGAGCTGGAAGCGCCGCGTCGAGGCCGACTCGTACGTCGGCCGGTTCTTGCCGTACATCTTGTGGTACGCCAGCTGGATCACCATCTGCACGTACGCGTCCGGCGAGCACTTGAACTTCTTGATCAGGCCCTTGCCGTACGCCTGGTACGCCTGGACCGCGAGCTCGTGCTTACCGATGACTTCGTTGAAGGCCTGGACCGCGCGGTCGATGTCCGCCTGCAGTTTTTTTGAGACGTCGAATTTGATCTCCGTCGGCTCGGGCAAGTCGGATCGCACCCTGGAATCGTCGAAGTCGAGCTTGTTGGCGAAGATGACTTCGTTGACGTAGTCGTTCAGTCGGTGCGTGGGCGTGCCGTCCATCATGCTGTGTTCGCCCAGGAAACCGGATGTGCCGTTGTCGTTCACGATGAACTGCAAGGGCTTGTCAAACCATCGGTTCTGGCCGTCGCCGTGCCAATACTGGTGAGCGCGCTCCTCAAGAGTAACTGGGGCGGCATCGTCCAAGCACACGACGAAAGAGGCTGATTCAATAGCTTCAATAGCCTCCAGATTCTCGGCGGAATCATTCACCATAAACTGGCGCACGTCCGCCCAGATATCCCTGTTCTGGGAGGTAAGAGCACCGACAGCAGGACCGCCATCTGCAATTTCATAGATGCGAGCAAATTGCGCCTCGAGCTCCGAGGTGTTAAGTGGCTTTTTATTACCAACTTGGTGTTGAACCTTAAAGAACTGATTCTTTCGGATAACAACAATGTGCTTATGTTCGTCGGGATGGTACTTGATTGGGTAGTCGGAGGGTTTGGCAGGGATACGACAGGCGTTGAACATCCATTTATAGCTTTCCATGCACATCGGTCTCCCCTTCATGTATTCGGGTTCGAGCGTGCCGGAGTCTACCTGCCTCTTAAAATCGAGCACAGCAGTAGTCAAAGCAGCAGCACGCTTAGCAGGGTTTTTCCGCCGTCGGTCGTCTCGGTGAGAGTAGAAGTAGCTGACATAGGGAACGACGGGGTCTCGATAGCTCAAGTAGGCGGCTTCATTCCACCAGTCATACAACCAGTTCTTAATTTGGGGATTTTCTCGCCGCTCGATTAGTTTTTCCTGTAATTTCCGTCCCACGCCTCCCGGTTTTATGAACTCGTCGACGGCCTTTTGGCTTGCGGCATATTCGACGGGGCTTAGCAAGGGATGTAAGCTCTTCATGTAGCGGGCGGCGGTCTCTTCGAGAGTTGGGACTGGTAATTTAGGAAGCGAATCCTGAAATCGATACATCGGGGGTTTTGATTTGTCTTCCACATATCCTAATACAGTTTTTTTTGTTAGCGACTCGGGAAACATCAGGTTTGCTTCAACTTGCGCTTCTGTAACTTACCTGGTGGAAGGGAGCTGTTGCTCCGGCTCGCTGCCGGCGCCATCAATATACTACTCTATGAAAGCGATAAGTTGTTAGCTTTGTGCTGTTACTCCGAATTCGGAATAAAGATTTAGAATTCAGAAGCAGGAAATACGCACTTTAGGTGTTGCAGCTTGTCTTGTCATGGGTATTCTCAGAGCGGTAGCCTGTGCCCGACTCTTGGCCAACGATCTCAACATTACCAATGGTGTTTATGTTTATTCTTTGGATATCTCAGAGGGAAGATACGAAAAGAAAAGGGAAAGAAAAGAAAGAAAGGAAAGCAATGACCAACGAGCTCGTAAGCTATGTTCGTGGGTACTACGGATCCGTATGTATGCTTGGTACTATGGTAATTAATCAAAGGAACCGCGGTATGGCCGTCCTTGTATAGAGTGTGGAACCCAGGCTATTCAAATTGGACGGGGGGTCTCCGTTCAAAAGATGGTCAAATGGGGGTTGTTAATTGAGGACGGGTTAGCGGAATTATGGGCAATTAAGGGCAGGTGTTTTTAGGTACTATAGGTACCTCTATAGGTAGTACCTGCCTTTCATAGGTACCTCTCGTAATACACTAGGTAACTACCAGCTGTTAGCCGATGGCCCCCGGCCGTAGCTGCCCTTCTACTATTCTACCGTGAACTTTTACATGGTGGAAGTGGGCTGTTTCGGCTTTCAGCACCCCGATGCCGAGGTAAATCGAATCTATGGATCTCTTGTTTCCCCAGACTTGACCCAGACTTTGACCCACGCTATGTAATCCTTACCCTTTAACACACTTTAACCGCGACTCGCGCAGGTTTATTAGATTCTTTCATCTGTGGCTTAGCCTTCTCACCAACGGCTATTGCATGTGTCAATGGAGAAACAAGCCACATCTTCCTTATTGCCATTTTCACATGCTTAAGCGTATTTCGCAACGAATCTGATCTTACATCTCATTACATCATCGCTGCTGCTGCGTAACGCTTTGCCTAACGGCTTCATATGATTTCGAAAAATTCTAGAACGTCGCAACATAGATCTTTGGGTTTACACTTTCAACATGATTGGATGATTGAAGTATCACGAGTCGGACGTGCATGATGGAAGATCCAGCTGAGCAGCTTGCGCGTTTTGTTAGCCAATACCTGCTTGCTATGTAAACTTGGACCTATCAGTGTTGAGTGCCAGGCAAAATAGCAAGCAACTCGATAAGTTCGCTTCTCGATTCACTTACTTGCGAACTAACAGCAAAGATCTAATAAGAATCGGGATTGTACCGTCTTAATTAAATAACAAAAGTCATGTTCGGTCTGTTAGATGATACAAGGAATGGAGATCCGCGCTTGGTGTGCGGGGAGCTTGTCAACATACAAAAAGACTTCAAGTTAGTTTCAACGAATATCAGCAACTGCATAAATGCAGATTCCATATAATTCCCGATGTCCCCATTCTCTTCTACGTCAAAGTTAATACTTCAATTCTCAAGAAACTACTAATCATTAATTCTCTTAGGTACCTAGTTATGTAAATTAATAAAAGTTTAGCAACGAAGATGACGAGATATCTTTTTTCATCAACAAGCTAGAATCTTAACTCAACCTGAGACTTTCCTCCGCGTTGCCAGAGCACCCATGTCTCACCCGCGTTGGCTACAGGTTCCATTGCAACTTCAGGTCTTATTAGCATTCTCCATCCCACTTCCGCGTCTTTGTATTAGGCATTCCATCAGACCCGCGGCCATGGCTATATCAACAAGTTTCTTCAAATACAAGCTTGAACTCCTTCAGCTTAGGTCTTCTTGTTATCCCAAGCCAGGTCTTTTTCTTACAATTCATTCTTTTCTCTGCTAACAAGCTTAGTCACTCTTTTACAATCACCAGCTTTTCTGCTTCTCATTTCGCTCTCTTTTTTTGGAGTCTTTTAAGTCACTCCTTTTACTATATTTGTTGTCATTTTGGACATTCGCTTTGAACTAAGTCGCCGTAATGGCAACTGGATATTCGCTCACTACGCATTATGCCGGCCAGGGGCTGCTCGATAGCTTCAGTTTCTTTATCGGGAATGACCCTAGTCATGGCTTTGTTGAGTATGAAAATATACCTGGCGATTAATTGTTGAAGTATAGCAAGGTTTACATGTCTAACTATTATATAGTTACCAGAGTAAAGAAGACGCTATAGCCAAGAACCTAGTTTCAGTGGGAAGAGACTGCAACAACGTTAGAATTGGCGTTGATTCAAACAATACATATTCGGCCGGTGATAAGGGGCGACCTAGTGTACGCCTAACAAGTCCCGATACCTTCACACACGGTCTTTTCATTGCGGACATATATCATATGCCGGCCTCGACATGTGGAACTTGGCCTTCTTGTGTGTTGCGATTCATCCGACCGATTGTAGTCTACACTAACACGTTCTCTAGTTTAGGCGTTCAATAACCAAGACAACGAAACGGAATGGCCCTTAGGAGGCGAACTAGAAATCATAGAGGGTGCCAACACGGCCCAAAGAAACTTATACTCTGCGCATACGTAAGTCTAGACGTGACAATGAAAGTCCGAGCCTTGCTAAGTAGAACAGTACCGAAGGCTGCAAAGCTCCCAGTGCTGGTTTCACTGGAAAGCAAGGACGAGTAAACTGCTCGCCAACGGTAAGTCATATACGACCTCTAGTCCGGAAGATAGCTAACAAATTGCATCCAGGGCGATAACGTTGGCTGCAATTATGCAGCTCCTCAATCTGATACTACTTCATATGGCGACGCATTTAACGCCGAGGGCGGCGGCGTGTACGCTCTTGAGTGGGATTCTGAAGACCTGAAATTATGGCATTTCCCACGCTCGACGATCCCGGACAACATCGTGTACGCTCACGTCTTAGGACCTGATCCCACAACCTGGGGCCCGCCGCAGGCTGTCTTCGGCGGCTCTTCTTGCAGCCCTGATGAACACTTCTTCAACATGAGTCTTGTATTGAATACAGTGAGTTTCCTGCCCCTGACGAGGCTGTATTCAACCCGCTTATACGAGGTGATAGAACTTCTGTGGTGATTATGCTGGCAATCTCTGGGGTAAAGCCGATCAGTGCAACCGTCTTGCCCCGACCTGCGAACAGTTTGTGGCTGAGAATCCTAGGAGTTTCGAAAACACGTAAGTGACCAATTACTCCAAGAGCCTTGTCAAGTAGCTAATTTCGAGGGCAGTTATTGGGATATCAACTTCATCGACGTCTATCAAATGGGACCATTGTCGGAGAAGACAGTGCCGCCCCTGCCTATAAACACTACAGCGACTAGCATATCATCGGCATCTAGCGTAACAGGAGCTCCAACGGGCGTAGTTCCAACCCATACCCGTACTATCACACTGTCCACAGTGAAGCCTACCGAAACCAGTAGTAGCCCAATAGACCCAACGGATATAGACGGCCACACTCTTCTCGGATGTTTCCGGACTCATGATAGTGGCAATCCATTCTTACCTGTTAAGTCGGGCGCGGATATGGACAACAAAGCCTGCGTGGCTGCTTCTGCCGGACACAAGTATGCCGGCGTGCAGGGCGAGTACGTATTCATCAAGAAAATCTCCCAATGAGCAGCCACACTGACAGTGATAACAGTACATGCTACTGCGCCGACACCCTTGGAGAACTCAGCGGAGTCGAAAAGGCACTCTGCAACACGCCCTGTCTTGGGAACGGGGACGAAATCTGCGGCGGCCTCACCAGCCCAGCATCGACACGAATCTCGCCTAGTCACTCTCCTATAACCAACTCCTCCACACCATCAATTCAGACCCATCGTCTCCCTGCTCTATCCAACGTCCTCCTAACAGTATACGCAAACCTATTCAACGACCCCGCGCCCCCCGGCGCTCCCGCAATGGGCGGCAGCCCACCACCACCACCACCACCCCATCCATCCTCACTCAAGCTCAAGCCCAAGCCCGCACACAAAGACGCAATGGTTACAACCGACGTAACGATCACGTACACGACCGTATGCGCGACAAACCCGGCAAAGCTCGTAGAAGCAGAGTACCACACGACAGTCACGTACGCACAGTGCACCTGCACCCACTCTCAGCCACCGCACCCGACGACCAAGCCCGCTCCTCCGCCCCCGGCCGCCCTCGCCGCCGTCCCCATGAAGATGTACAAGACAACGTGCCGGGCGTGCGGGGCACATGGCGAGAGCACGGTTACGCTCACCGTGCCGCAAGCCCTGTATACCACCACCACCAGCTCCTCCCCCTCAGACGTCGTCGCTGTGACTACTACTACCGCCGTGCACACCGTTATTCCCGTCGTCGGCACCGGTGCGGTCCCAACAAACGGGACCGTTCCCGCGGCTGCGGGTGTGGCTACGTTTACTCCGCCCCCTCCGCCTAGGCCGCGGCCGAGTAGTTTCGCACCGCCCCTCGTGGCGGCTGCTCCTCCCCGCAGCGAGACGTTTACGGCTGTGCAGATGCTTGGCTGGGGCGTGGCGGTGTGGTTTACGCTGTTTGAGATCATGCTTATTTTGTGACGACTTGTACTTTTCATGTTATCTTTCCCTACCTAACCTACCTAGGTACCTAACCCACCTTATCCATCCGGGTCAGGTTGTTTCTTTTATTGGGCAGGTCGGCAGTCTTCGTTTTATTTCCTTGGTCTCTCTTGTATGACGTCTGGTAGGGCGGAGTTTACGGAATCGGGGAAGGTCTAGGTTAGGCAGCATGGTTCGGTGTATATCTAGAGGCTGTAACACACGTAGCTTGACGATGATGATCTTTTCGCAAGTGGAATTTGGAAAAGCAGGCTTTTATGTCATGCACGATCCGCGGCTGGCCCGTGGCAATACTCAATATAACCATTTTCCTCCATCCTCGGTTATCGCCTCCGTCTTCTATATTGCTTTTAATTACTGCGTACCGTATTTCCAACTTATATTTACACTGCGGAACCATGTGTTTTGGCAAATGACCGTCGACCTCTTTCGGATCAGTGGCCTCTAATAATCCTTCTCGCTTGTTTTGTTTAGGGGTATACTTGCTTCGTGCGTATTATTCCTGCATGTCTTATATGTTTATGTACTGGTGAATGGAACTCATCTATCAAGAAGCCTTCGCGCGAGTCTCCTGCTAACTCAAACCGTAATCGTTATAGGGGCTTTTTTAGTCAACCTCCCTCGAGTACCGTCCTGCATACCAGCGTTGATCAGGATGCTCCGGTTCGCAACTCCACCAAGGAATAGCCAGTGCCACAGGATGCTGGTGACGCCGTAATACAGAACCCTATATACGTCCAGCCAGGCCCTGTAGTCAAGTACGTTATAGAAAAGCCCGGGTTTCGGACGGGACATGGCCGTCTCGTACTGCGTCTGACACTCGTCCCAGAATACGTGTTGCATCCCCCGGCCGCAATGAACATGGCCAAACATGTGCACCCTAGGCCGTTTTCGCCATATCTCGCGGAGAAGATGGGGACATCCAAGAGCCAGGTCCAGATGGTGCCTCTATAGTCAGATGATTAGATAAGGTTGTTCAAACTTGTAAGGGTGGTGTTCACTTACAGGTGGCGTATGGGTTATTAGAATATCGGTGTCTATGGGTACGACGTCTTCCCAGGGATTTTCGTTTAACGTATACTGAAACCTACAATATCAATCATGGTTAGGGCTGATTTATAATGAGAAATAACGAGAGGAAAACGGGATGAACATACGCATTATCAGACCCGCCGCACCGAGGGATACCAGGGGCACCGTAGATGTTTAACTTGCGTCCGCCTTCAAACTCAAATGTAATAGATTCATGCTCGAGGTAATGTATCGATTTCATATCGACGGTATTACCCTGGCGCTTGTCTTCCTCTGTCCTGGACCTAACGTCAAACCAACTATCGTGGTTGCCACAGACAACGACCTTGTACCTGTGAGGTAAAGAGTCCAGCCAGTCGATCTGCTTTTGAATGGAGGAAGCTCTACCGTCGTTCACCAGATCACCGCAGTGGATTAGTAGGTCGCCATCCGGGACATGTTGGACGATAGATTCGTGAGTGTCAGACAAGCATACGATATTGATAGGACGTCTTCCCTGAGGTGGCCCAACTCGATTACTGCGTAGCCATACGACTATATGGTATATGTAAAAGATGAGCCCCTGAAGAGGTGCCTCTAGCAGCCAGTCCAATATCGTCGGTCGCTTCCATACGATACGACGGCGCAGACCTAGTTTGACGAGCAGTCCCATGATGATGGTATTTTTGCCCGACAACCTAGAAGCTGTCAGGTAGTTTATCGTTAAGCTCTCGTTAGTGATGGATGAAGGTTAGATTATGTAGGTACCTAAAGTAGTAGATTCTCTGCCGCCGCAAAATGTAACGACAACAGGGCACCCCTGGCTAACTGAGGTAGCTTGTAGATTGCCCATTCGGCATAGATCCTAGCGGAACGTGTTCGCTAATGACACCTCCGAAACCTGTAACAAGAGCACTAAAACTTGCTTACAGACTACAAGAATCAGGTACTATTATAGTGCAAATCGTCTAGAATCTACATAGTATCGCAGGCTTGGGCGGGGTATTTACAGGGTTTGCACGGGCCACCATGTCAATGTCACCGGTCCAAGTGGCCTCCAAGTGGTCTCAACTACCAAATGACGTCGATCAATTTTTTCGATTCTATGGTATCGTTGCCGGTTTTCCTTGATATGGCACCAGCCAGATACATACAATTTACCTAAGTACGCGTACCTAGCACACATGCAGGGGCACTTGTTAAATTAAATACATACAAATAACTTAACCTAACCCTTCTTTCATTTCTATTTTTGTAGATGATCCTAATTTTACCCCAATATCTCTCTCCTATGATTTATTTCTACCACAGACTTCTCGTATCTTCATGGTCTCCTATTCATGAGTTTACTAACCTATTAAGTCGTTAAGACTATATAAATATATATATATATATAGGTAATCACTTGGGTGTCTGTAGCTAAGCCACTCAAGGCGTGAGAGGCCTTACTGAGCCGGCATACCTGCATCCATAACCACATCATGTCAAGTCTTCGGTCCTTGTACGCCTCCGACGGCGTTCAGATCGGGGGCAACATGGACGTAGATTATGTCGTTCATTATAAAGTTTCTAACGATAAGGCCGAGGCTGCAGCTGGCTTCACTCAGCTGATCGAAGCCCTCACGAGGGTTGGGCTCGCTACAGAAGTCCGATACGGTGACAGCGATTCTTTATTGGTTTTTGTCAAGGTAGCATCCGAGAAGCACCTAACCAATCATATTTATCGAGAGCGTGTCCAAGATTGGTTGTATGGTGTGCGAATCACCACCCCCAACAAGGACCTAGCTAAAGAATTCGCCGACCAGCCCGTCACCGAGGCTGAGCGGCTGCGTACCGTTTATTTGCTTATCACCAAGCACAAGAGCGAAGGATGTGCGGGTATCGCACCCAAGGTCGGTTTGTGGAAGGATGTCGAATCTATCTTCCCACTTCATGATCTTGCCTTCAACCGACGATGGATCCAGCAGTGGAGTACCAAGTACTTCCTAGACGACAAAGATCTCGACCAGATTCGCGATAAGTTCGGCGAGAGCGTTGCATTCTACTTCGCCTTTATGCAATCTTATTTCGCATTTCTAATATTCCCAGCAGCATTCGGGTTCGGTGCCTGGCTTATCCTTGGTCAATATTCGTTGTTCTATTCTATCGTCAGTTCCCTTTGGTCCATCGTCTTTTTCGAGTGGTGGAGGAAGAAGGAAGTCGACCTCGCTGTTCAATGGGGTGTTCGCGGAGTATCTCGTATCCAACGCCCCCGAGTACAGTTTAAATGGGATCATGAGGCAGTAGATCCCGTTACGGGAGAAGCTGTGAAAGTGTATCCTCCGATGAAGAGGCTACAGACTCAGCTCTTGCAGATCCCATTCGCATTTGGTTGTTTAGCGATCCTCGGTGCTCTCTACGTCTTTTGCTTTTCCATCGAGATCTTTCTCACTGAAATCTATAACGGTCCATTCAAGGCATACCTAGTTTGTATAATCTACCCTTCCAAATGATATACGATCTAACGCGTTTTTAGACTTTCGCGCCTACGATCATCCTCTCAGGATTACTCCCAGCGCTGTCGACAATTCTTAGCAGTTTTGCAGAGAAGCTCACAGACATGGAAAATTACAAGACAACAGATAGTAAGTGGATTATTTTAACGGCTGCTAGGTTATACTTTGCTAACAAATTTATACAGCTCATCATTCTGCTTTGGTCCGAAAGTTGTTCATTATCAATTTCATCACCTCTTATACACCCCTTTTCTTGAGCGCATTTGTTTATATGCCATTCGGGAATCTTCTCGTACCTTATCTAGATGTCTTCAAGATGACCGCCGAAAAGTTTTCTAGTGAGGAGTCAATCACTACTCAGGGCTTTCAGATCAATCCGGGTCGTCTAAAGAGCCAGATGATCTACTTCACGGTCACAGCCCAAGTAGTGAACTTCGCTCTCGAAACTGTTGTTCCTTACGTAAAGCGCAAGGCGTTCGATGAAGTCAAGAAGGTTCAATATAAGGGTAAATCTTCGGCGGATATCGATGTTCCCGAAGAACATGAGTTCCTTGAAAGAGTTCGTCACGAAGCGCTACTCGACACTTACGACGTTACTGTAGACTATAGAGAGATGGTAGTTCAATTTGGCTACCTCTCGCTTTTTTCGTCAGTTTGGCCGCTCACGCCACTTTGCTTCTTCATCAATAACTGGGTTGAGCTGCGCTCGGATGCTGTGAAGATAGCAGTTACCAGTAAGAGGCCTATTCCGTGGAGAGACGACTCCATCGGGCCATGGCTCGATGCGCTAGGCTTTCTAACTTGGGTTGGAAGTCTCGTAAGCTCTGCAATTGTGTATCTTTTCGGTGGCGATTCTAATGGCCCCGGCGGCGACCCGTCCAACATTGCTACATCGGGTCTCTTGTTAAGCATCCTCCTCTCCGAGCACGTGTACTTAGCAGCGCAGTTTGCAGTACGATATGCGTTGAAACAGATGGATTCTCCCGGACTTCAGAAGGAGAAAGCCGAGCGCTTTGCCATAAGGAAACAGGTACTAGAGGAGAGCCTGGGACCTGAAGCAATTGAGAAACCTCTACCTCCCACGCCACAGGTTGGTGAAAAAATCACCCGAGAATCTTTAGAGGAACAGGCCCGGCAAATATCAATGAACGGTGGAGGGACCCCTGAAAAACTGTAAGTTTTCCACAATATCAACTAAGGAAACTGTCAGTCATGCTAACCCCTATCTACAGATTTTGGTTAAGACAACAAGGCATGGACGAAACTATTCAAATGGGCCAAAGGCTAATCGTACAGGCAACCGAATCTGGGAACTAGGCGTATGGGCAGCTTTATATCAGTTAGGAGGGTATAGAAGAAGTGGTTGTGGTTGTGTTGTTGACCATTACGGTGAGCTTAGTGGTTGGGTAATCAAGACGGGTCTATAACTCGAACAATAAACACAATAACTATCATTATTCATGCACATTCTTAAATTAGGATGAGTTGAATTAAATTTTAGGTAATTTAATAACTTGTCGTTATAACAATACCGATTCTCTTCTCATATACGAGCAATCGGGTATCATTACCTACTTAGGTACAGGTTCGATATTGCTAAATCTCGAAGCATAAATGGGAACACATATGTAAATGAAGTATAAGTTGATATTATCTACCAAAATTTTCATAAACCCGGAATCCGTCCTGTGCAAACCAAGCCATGCTGCTATAACAAAAAGAAACGGAAAACCAGTGAAGCTTTTCCGTTAAACACTCCTTTTTATTATTTCCTCTTCCACACCCCCCCTTTCCCCCCATACTATGCCTTGCATGACATTTCAACCGGAAACCAACAATGCCCAACAAAGGCTGAAAAAAAAGGAAAAGAAGAAAAGAAGAAACATTTTTTTTTTTCCTAACACCGACGCCAGACGTAGCTCCAGCTCTCGGAGGCGGCGGTATCGGTGTCCTTGCCGAAGTAGGCGTACTGGGCGCCGTCGGCCTGGAGCGCGACGCGGAAGTTGACGTTGAGCAGGCCGACGGTGCCCTTGGCACCCGTGCACGGCGAGTACACGACCTGCGCGTCGGGCACCGTGCTGCGCGCCGTCACGTCCTGGCTCAGCCGCCCGGAGCCCGTGTTGTCGAGCGAGCCCCTGATCGTGACCTGGAATGTATAGGTACCTATATTAGCCAACCTGGGTATGTTATGTCTACCTCGGTATTTTTTTTTTCGGGGGGGGGGGGGGGGGGGGGGAGGCGGGGGGGGGGGGGGTTTGGGGGGTGGCGGCGGAGGACCCGGGGGGGTGGGGGGCGGGAACAAAGAAAGGGAAGGGGTAAA